AACCTCTTCTTTTAATTTTAGGAAGTCTCATATCAAAGTAGAGTTACCCAGTTCCATTATACTTACCAGTACCTAAGTTTGAAAGAAAGAGCATATTATTTCATTAACTATTGGATTCAAATGAATTTGGGTTTAGGATGTATTAAGATTAGATTCTGCTACATATAATTTAAAAATTCCAATAATACTGGCAGTGTTTTTTATTTTTAAGTTTGGGGATATACCAAGTTGTTTCTTCTTATTCAAAAATTATTATGAAATTCTCAAAAAGAAAAAGGGGGAACATTTTAATGTATTTGAATTGTACCAAACTGTCCTTATCTTATGGTTTTAGAAATTCTTTTGAAATAAAATAGTATATTACTGTTACTCCAAAAATAATTTTTTTCTGGCTTAAGAGTTTTTTACAACTTATTTTAGGTATTATTCAGACACATTACATTTTACATAAGTCTGTGAAGTCCAGAATTACAGCTATTTAGGCAACTATTGTATTCTAGACTAAGTAGTAAATTCATTTACATATTCTTTTGTGAAACACACTGTCCTAAAATAGATTACGCCAACATTTTTAAAAGCATAACAAATTACCTGCCAGGGAACAACTATCCCATGTTAATCAACAGTTTGGAAAGCCAATCATTTTATCTGTATTTCTTGTTAACACTTGTGCTTATTTGAAACTAAAAATACTATATTCTCTACTTTTGGTAATATAGTTGGCTCTTCAGACTGAATTTCCCGCTAAAAACAGCTAAGAGTACTGAATAAAGTATTTTAAAAGCATGGAAGAACTGACAAGGTAGAAATTATCACGTCAAAATCCAAATGGATTAGTTTCTCTCCCACCTCCTTACCCCTTTTCTCTCCATGTTGCCCAAACTCAGTGATTTGTTTTCTAGAAAGTCCTTCCTCTGGATTTATCTGTTTGCTTCCTTGTGAAGATTTAATTTGTTTCTCTATCCCCCCATATTTCCTATAAATGGTTCCTAACAGCATTAACATAATCACTTATTTGTATCATCCTGTAATAGTTTCAAAACAATACCAGTATTGCTGCAGACAATTAGATTACAAACTACTGAGTAAAGTTTAAGATTTCTTTGCTGCTCTATTTGTTCTTAGAACATATTTCACCAAGGATGTATAGTCAATTCTGTATTCTAATGCAACGTGAAATAATTGTTTTCTCTATATTTTTATATAAACTTTACATAGTTAGGTTCATTTGTTTCCAGTTAGCTATCAACTTTTAGGGTTAGCTAAGTCAAAACTATACAACAAGGTATATTCAGAGAACTCTTGCTTCTGTATCCCATCCACCCGATTCTCTTCCTCCTCCTGTTGGTGACTATTTTTGGTTGTTTCTTATCAGTATTTCTTTTTGCAAACATACAAAAATATGTATTACATGTTCTTATCCCCTTATATAAAAGGTTGCATACTAAATATATTGTTACACATCTTGTTGTTGTTTTTTAAATAATATATCTGGAAGATCACTCCATATCAATACATAGGGATCTTTCTTATGTACATTATCATACTGCCTTTGGGAGTAAACCATGGTTTATTCAACCAAGCCCCTATTGATGGGCATATGGGTTCTGCTATTACAAATAATGCCACAGTGAATACCCTTGCACCTAAGTATGTTTATATTTTGCCTAATGAATCTTTGCAAAAGATTTCTAGAAGTGGAATTGCTCTATAAGAGGGTAAATGCATTTGGAATTTTTCTGGTTATTACTAAATTCCTCTCTCTAGACCAGTGCTTCTCAGCCTTCTGGCCCTTTAAATACAGTTCCTCGTGTTGTGACCCAACCATAAAATTATTTTCATTGCTACTTCATAACTGTAATTTTGCTACTGTTATGAATCGTAATGTAAATATCTGATATGCAGGATGGTCTTAGGCGACCCCTGTGAAAGGTTCGTTCGACCCCCAGAGGGGTCGCGACCCACAGGTTGAGAACCGCTGCTCTAGACTATACCATTTTGCAGTCCCACCAGCAATGTGTCAGGGTGTCTAGTTCTATACAGCCTCACTCTAGGCTTTGTTGTTGAACCTTGGATTTATATGGATGAAGGTATTAGCATCTCAGTATAATTTAAATGCATCTCTCTTATTATGAGGAAAGTTTAATATCTTTATATATGTTTTTAAGGACTATTTAAATTTTTGCTTCTCTTACTGTCTTTTATATGTTTTGCATATTTTTTCTGTTGTGTTGTGGGTCTTTCCTACCCCATTCTGTATTTGGGAGTTTTGTGTATGTTTTAAATTTTAGTAGCCCTTTGACTTAATTTAGATTGTGATTTTTTTTTTCAGTTTGCCATTTGTCTTTTGAATTTACTATGGTGATTTTTTATGTTTGTTCTTGCCATTTAAAAGTTTTCTATAATTGGATTTTTCTTTTCTTTTTTTTGCTTCTTGATTTTGAGTGTCAGCTAGGAAGGTTATTCTCATTTCCAAATTACAAACAAGTCTTCGGGTTACGACTCACGTATGTCGTTTCATTGCCATCTCCCATTTATTTATTTAAAAAAAAGTTCAGTCATTTTGTCGTATGTACATATGTGCTTTGGTTTTTATTATTTATTTACCACAAATAAAAGTCAGGAATTGTTATCTTTCTTTTAAATGTTTTTCACTGTTTCACTTCATTACTGCTGTGTATGTGCTCCATGTGAGTGATATAGGTGCTTATGTAGGTGGGTTCCAACTACATCGCGCCATAGGAACGGATCTCTGACGTAACCCGAGGACATACTGTATAAAAGAATATACTGATATTTTCACCTATTACTTACATAATTTCATTTTTTATATTTAGATCTCTGGTCTATTTGGTGTTTATTCCAATGTAGTGTGACTTATAGATACAATTTTATTTTTTTTCCAAATACATATCCAACTGTTTCAATATTTTTCCTCACTGATTTGAGATTGGAATCTATTTTTAGATCTGTTCCATTGATCTGTGTCCAGTCATGTGCCAGTATCACACTGTTTTAATGCTGGTGTCCAAATACTTTGCTACTTAACGTTTTTATCAGAACGAGGTAACAACAAGTACAGGTCACCGTCTTTTATTTCGTTGTATCCCCGCCACCAACACTGAATGAAATACATATTTAATATATGTTTGTTGCAGTGCATGAAGTAGGCACTCTTTGGTCTTCTATTAGCGAAAAGGATGCTGAACAAACTCAGCTTTTAATACCACTTCTAAACAAGTCACTTACTCTCTCTGGGTGTGTTTTCTCAGCAATTAACAAATAAAAGGGGTTGAACTAGATGGTCATCTGGGTTGTTTCTGAATCTATTTAATGCTGATATGGTAAGAGCACTATGGTATGCTGTATATAGGTAGTTCAGTCTGCTTTTAATTACCCTATGCCTTGTTGTTTTACCATATTCATGAAATAAACTTTCTCTTCTGGGTCCTGGTACTTTAATCTTTTCAGTAAGTTTTTCTTTGGCCCAACATTTTCTTCTATTCTTTATTTCTTTTATTGGTTTGCATATCTTTCTGTTGATTAAGCAAGAATTGCCACTGTTGGGCTGCTCAGCTTCCACCTACCTCAGTAGGGGAAAATTGCATGCAGTAAATGGGAATTATTTCCCCCCTCAGAGACTTTCTTAAAACACAAAACAAAACAAAAAATCAACAACAAAACCACCTGCTAGCAGTAGTCTATTTTATTGTATAAAGGACAAAAGGAGAAAAGTTGCCTGTAGTATTTGAAGAAATCAGACAAGACTATGACCAGATCATCAGTTTTTAATTTATTTATGAGAGTTGGTATTTCCTTATATTTCCCAATACTCATCCTTCAGGAGGTCAGGAAAGAAGGTGATAAAAAAGAAAGACCCTGATAGGTAACAATCTTATATGTAAAATGAGAAAGATTATGATGATTTTAAGGCAAGTTAAAGTCTTAATTAGTATAAAAACATGTCTTATTTACCATAACTAGATTACTTAAAATTCAAAAGAAAAATGGGAAATTATCAAACTCCTGATTACTACTGGGCAAATTAACCTTAAAAGTTCAAAGTTTGAAAAACTCATGAAAGAAAATTTTTAATGTGGAAGACAGAGAGAACCAATGTAGTATGACAGCAAACAGCATACTTATTCAGGAAAAGTAAGCAGCTCAAGGAAGTGTTTCTGCAGATAAAATATTTTTTTAAATATATTTTATTGATTTTTTTACCGAGAGGGAGGGAGAGGGATAGAGAGTTAGAAACATTGATGAGAGAGAAACATCGACCAGCTGCCTCCTGCACACTCCCTGTTGGGGATGTGCCCGCAACCAAGGTACATGCCCTTGACTGAAATTGAACCTGGGACCTTTCGGTCTGCAGGCTGATGCTCTATCCACTGAGCCAAACCGGTTAGGGCTGCAAATAAAATATTTTAATGGTCAATGAGGGATGGCTTAAAAGATTTAAAGAGAAACATTGTATGTAAAATTTCAGTGTCCAAAAGCCTGCTAGTTTTTATTAGATATGGAACTTAGTTTCTTGAACACCATGCTACAATAAATTCTATTTTTGTTCAGAAAAATCCCAGAACTATGAGAGGTTCCAACATTAAACTACCAATAAGGTCACCACACTTCATTCTAAGTGACTGTTTCCCCCAGGAAGGGGGAGGTAAGGAGAGTGAATATATGCTTGTTGGGCAACGGAGCGCTATTGCGGGCCCTGGCTGACATCTGCATAAGGGTAGGCCCTGAACACACTCCAGCTTTGACAAAGATTGGGTTCATTCGTACTCTGATAACTCAGGTTTATCACTTGTCTGGTAATTGATAAAAAGAAATTCTGCATAAGAAAGATGGTTAAAGAGTTTAAATGTATGGTGCTTAAATGTCAAGTATGAATTTTATGAAAGTTGAGAACCATCTGTATTTCGATACAATATGTTTTTCTTGGGAAAATCATACAAATTTGAAAGGAAGCCATAGAAGTGTTTTTGTTTTCTTTGTAAAATTTCATTTTGTTAGAGTTCTTCAGGCATATAAAGAGGCTAGTTTCAAAATTTGTGCTCCCCCAATAAGGTAGGAAAATGTCTACATTTTATGGTACATGCCCATTTTTTCCTGAGTAAATTTCCCCAACCCCCAAATTTGATATTTTAGTGTGTTTGCTTTACTATTTCCAATGAGAGCTAAAAGGAAATTTCTCCATTTTTAAACATGCATTTTAATCACTCATCCCCATGAACTTAGAATATTTATTTTAATACTAGAGGTATTAATTTAAAATTTGGAGCTTTGTTTACAACTTTGAAATGGAAAAATAAAATTTTATTTATTCAAGGTAACTTGATACACAGCTTTTGGGAGGGGGGAACTATTGGGTGATACCAAGTATACATAGGTTATTCATTTCCAAAATGGTTAAGTTATTGACACATATACCATCCACATATGTAAAATATACTCTACATTAAAGTTAGAGGCTATAGCCAGTCAATAGATCACTGTTATATATTAAAAAAAAAAATTAAGCTTTACCTATGCACATGGGCTTTGGGCAGATTTTAAGTAGTTCCTGAATAAAAATCAAAATTGGCTATCAGTTGCCACTTAATATCTTTCATCACATGAAGAAAAACAAAAGATAGAGAGTCCTTTGAAAAGGATGAAAAATCAGCTAATAAGCAAGCTGTGATGTTTATAACAGTTCTGCAGGTGGGGGTGGCAGGGATTCATTGAGATCTTGCTCAGAGTTAGGAAGAATACATAACTCCTGACATTGGATCTCATTGTTGGAATCTTCAAGGGTTTTCATCAGATCTGGTGGCAGGTTCAAGTTAGGTGAGTCAAGGGGAGGCGGAAGTGACTGTTCGTACTCAGAATTATGATCTTCACAGACTTGACTGAGACAGTCCAGAGATGGTGGGAGATTGGTGGAATCATTTGGAAGAGGAGATACCGTTGTCGTTGTCATTGTGGGTTCGTCAGGTGTGTTACTCTCCTGTCCTTCCAAATCAAGAAGGGGAGGTGGAGGAGGCAGATCTGCGTCATCTGAAGAAACGGCAGTGCCAATTGTTGATCCACCAGCACTATCCTCAGATGTACCATTTCCTTGATCTTTTATTTTCTCTGTTTTGAGGTTGTTGGAATCATCAATGTTTTCACTTGATTCAAACAACTTAATTTCTAAGTCATCTGCTAAAAGTGTGCTTTTGCCTGGTTTCCAGGCCATAAGTGAAATAATTGATTTGCGTTTTGTGGATACTTCATTCTCTCTGATGTTATCCAAACATATATCAGGGGTTTCACCATCAGCGAATGGAGATCTGCCTGCCCAATTTTGGTCATTTAAAACTGGTTTTCTAAAGCATTTGCATAGCACAATCATGATAATCGCTACCAACATAGAAACCAGAATTACACCAACTATTATGGCAGCTGTTGAACTAGAATTGCTTTTATGTGGCATTTGTGTGTTACCAGTATCTTTTGTGATGAATCCTGGTGTAAACCTAGGTGAACTTTTGACAGCTGGTGTTGGTTGTATGGATAGATTTTGAATAGTCGGTGGTACTGGTTTTCCAGAAGAGGTGTGAACAGTTGATGGTCGTTGAGTGGATTGATAGACAAATGGTGGCGATTGTCTGATAGAAGTATGGGCAGATGTTGGTAGTTGTCTGCCAGAGGTGAACACAGGTTGTGCTGTTTGTTTGGAGATGGTGTTGGCCGTGGGTGATGGTTGTCTGGTGATGTTATAGGTAAATGGTTGTCCAGCAGTAGTATGTGCTGCTGGTTTTCCAACAGCAACTGCTGTTGTTGGTTGTCCAGCAGCAACTTTGGCAGTTGATGGTCCAGAGGAAATGTCGTTGAGTTGTGTTGATTGACCCAAAGGGTTCCCTGTTGTGTTTTGAGAATTAGCCAAGACATATGGCATTGGTGATGTAAGTAAAGCAGACTGTGGTTGTGACTCTGTTGCATTTGCATTTGTCTCTGAGGAAAATGTATTGTTCAGGTATCCACAAAACAAAATTAAGATGAAATACTTGGGATCCATTTCAGAATGTTTCCTTTTTACCACTGGTTTTATAATGAAAAGAAAAAAGACAGACAATTAGGTCGCATTTGAAGTCTGGCATAAAGTAGTTAGGTACCTGATAAGTATTTATTATTCCTAATTTAGACTTGATACACTAAAGGCTAGTGTAAACAACTCTTGAATATACTCTAATTTACCATACAACATTTGGATCTTACAACCAGTGTTTTCTCTTAATTGTTTCATAAGATCTGTACGTGGCCCTGCTTCATTACGTTACAATCCTTCATTTCACAAACTTCTCAAATACATAAGCTCTGTATGCCGGTTCCATGTACTCCTTATTTTCTCTTTCTTTGTGACTTGAAGTACATTGATTCTGATGCCTTGAAGGGTACCAGAAACCATCTATTATTTTATCCAAAGATCTTTTCTTTCTCTTTCTTTTTTCCCCTCTTTGACTATATTTATCTTAACTAACTATTCCTTCACTGCTATTCAAAGAGCTCTTTATAGTAGTCTTCCTTTTGTGTTTATCTCACTAGCTCCTGTTTTTCTCTTGTCTCCTAAATATTGGCACTTGATAGTTAGTCCTCATGTTATCTACTTTTCTTTGTTCCTGAGTCTATAAGATTTCAGCTCTGTCCTTTATGCCAAAACTCCCAAACATGCACATCCAACCCAAACCTCCTTCATTCTAGTTCCATTTGGGTGACTTGTTGGTGGACATTTCCATGTATGCATCCCACTATCAGCAAATTCAACATTTACAACAGAATACCTCTTCATCTCAACACTGACTCTCCCAACTTCTCTGTTTTAATGGTAATACCTGTGTACGTTTCTTATGCACAGAGTCTATTTTATGAGTAATCTTTGCAACATTATCATTGTTTAGCATTATAAATTTTATGTTAGCACCTCATATTTTTAAAGGATTCAGCTCAGAGTCCATGGCTCAAAATCCCAAAGTGAGCTTTGAATCTGGATGAGTCAGTTTTACACAGTTGGTAAAGGAGTTGTGCTGCTGCTTTCATTCATTTATTGATAAACATCATCTTTTTGTCAGGCCCCCTTCTAGGTTTAGAAGGAAGGTTAGGGGAACGATTTTAGTTGTAGAAACAAACAAGTAATAAATAATTACAATAATTTGATGAGTTTTCTCATAAAGGTATGCAGGAGATACACAAAGGAACCAATCTAGCCTGGGAAGGCTTTAGGGAAGGTTTCTCAGAGAAGTAAAACTTGAACTGAATCTTGAAAGATATGTAATTAAGCAAATAAAATATTACATCTGGGGGAACATCCATGAGAATTAGTCACTTAATCTGTCCTGTTCTCAATTGTCTTATCTCTAAAGTGAGGAGTTATAGTAAGACTATGTTCTGTGTGTAATATTCGTGTTTCACACACTCATTAATCACAGTGGTAACTATTCAGTTATTTTTTTACCTTAGGGGGGAAAAAGTCTCAGTGTTTTAGATCCCAGTAAATATGATTAGAAACCATGGTTTTTCTTGATTCGTAGGCCAATCTGAGAGGGATTTGATGTTCTGTACAAGGTACAATAAAGGGAGAAGAGGAGCTCCCTCAACTTGTGCAAATAAGTAGATTTCAGTGTGTTTGAGTAGTTTTCATTACTTACTCCCCTATTACTTGGTACACAATGATGACAAATTGTCCTATTTTCATAGAAAAGAATGATTTTTTTTCCTGTACAGTCTCTTTTATTTTCTCTCAAACATTCCAGCCTAAAATTTAAAATATTTCTTCTTTAAACTCTCTCCTGCACACCGCT